TCAGACTCCTGATTTATGCCTTGTGGACAGACTTTGAAAAGATAGGAGGTGTTACTTGCTGCAGTATCCCTAGCCTCTGACCCACTCCTGTAGCCACTGTATTTATATGACTAGCCCAGATCAGTTTCTGGCCAATGGCAACCCCCAGAATGTTGTTGATAGGGGACTCAGTGATGGTAATGCTTTTCAATGTCAAGGGATCACAATCTTCTGCTCAGAGGAGAAGGTTTCTACAACTTAAACCAAAGCTGATGCAAGTTTGAAATTCATCATTAAAGTGAACAAGATCAGTTTGCATTTTTGCAGCACCTTTTTAACATAGGGCATTTTACTAAGATCCTTGAGGTTGTAGACTTGCTCGCTGAGCCAGTGTGTTTGGTTGCAGATGTTTCGTCACCCTGCTAGGTAACTTCATTAGTGTGCCTCCGGTGAAGTGTTGGTGTTCTGTACCACTTGTTATTTATATACCTCGGTTTGCTGGGGTGGTTGGCATTACTTCTTCTGGTTCAGTGGCAAACCATTGAAAAACAGCCGGAAGTAATGCCAACCACCCCAGCAAACCGAGGCATATAAATAACAAGCGGGACAGAACACCAATGCTTCACTGGAGGTGAACTGACAATGTTACCTAGCAGGACGATGAAACATCTGCAACCAAACACACCGGCTCAGTGAGCAAGTCTGCAACCTCATTCACAACCGGAGCTACAAATCTTCTCCAACTTTATACAAGATACTTCATAAGAGCATGATCAGACCATACCCATAAGAAGATAGTAAGGCAGGTGAATAGGGAGGTAGCGTTTTAATAGGTGTCTCAAATCATGCATTTGGGGAGGGAATCCCAGGGTTCAAGGACTGGTGGCTAACCGCTCGTCTATTGATGACAGATCACTGAAAATTGGGGATGTGTAACAGACCAGATTTGGATGTCTCTGGACATGGAAATGGAAGAGATTCCAAAAATCAGCTGGGTTTGAGGATTTGGAAACTAGTAAAAGAATTTCAAAATCTTTTTTTTAAAAAAAAATAAAGTGGATGGGAACTTTTTAAAAATAGTTGTAGTTTTTTCAATGCTTAACCTTAAGTGCCCTTCCACAGTAAAAGTGCATTTTGCCCTGTCTGAGTTTTATTTTCCAGCTTGGCCTTTCCACTCCCTAATAAGACAATGTGTGAGATTATTAATGTTCTATTAGGATTTGCTCCAATACTGACTCAAGCAGTCAGACTTAATTTTAAATGGATTTAGAGAGACACAACACCTGAAGCTCCAAACATTATTCCATACTGATTAGTCAAGGCTAAGGTAACTTGGGTGCTAAAAATAGCAATTAGGATTACTCTGAGAAATGTCAAAAGGTAGAGTAGCAGTATGGAATTGGATTTCAGTTCAAATGGTTGTGGTTGAAAATCCCTTTAGATTGAAAGTTAGCAAAGTTTAAAAATAGCAACGTAGAATGCATCAAGTGCAGTTCTGAAAAGATGATAGTAAATTACTGGAGCAGAGAGCTCCTAGCTCTGGCTGATCAAACAACCAGTGCTAGCTTTCTTCTAGCATTGTAGTAAGGGGCATTGTTTAGCTGGACACTTTGTATTGCAAATGGCTCGTTGGTAAGACTGAAGAAACAAGCTTGTAGCTGATTGGCCAAAAATGTTGACATGTTAAATTTTTCACCCTGTTTAGAAGATTGTTCTATGGAAGACAGCCTGAGATGTCCTGTCATGCATTTAAGAGCACAATGTTCTGATATTGGAATGATAAGACAAATAATAATAAGGTCTTGAGACTGAGCAGCCTCTCATTTTAGGACATGGACATGAAGAAACAGAAGGAGCAGTTTGCTAACTTAGCACCAGAGATGCACAAGCTGCAATTTTTCAGGCATGCCATAATTTGACTACTGAGGTAGAAAGTAGGCAACAGTCTTGCCATACACAGGCAACCAGTAGAAAAAATTTGAAGTTTCTCTGTCTGGCTTCTGATGACATGTCAACAGTTGGAGGAATGCTTTTGTGTCCCGGATCAAAGGGAGCAACCCAGCTGGGTTTGCCTGAGATCGGGGAAACAAGACAGAGTTTTATGGTGACACGAGGAAATGAGCAAGGAATACGTTTTCAGAAAATTTCATGCAAACAACATAATGTCACTTAACCAGGGCTGGCAATTTGACAATAGGCTAAAATTGCAATAGGACAGGTGGGAGGGATAGCATAGTGTGGTACGAGACTAGCTGGAAGTACTGCAAGTCTGTTCTTTCTGCAAGACATACGCAGTCTCAATAATAGATTCTTTCTGATTATTTACTGCTCATTCTCAGTAATGCTGCTGTTTAAAATGAGAAAACTGCCTCTGGAGGATGACAGGTCTGGTTTCTAAAGGCTGGTATTCAAATATAAGGCATGCTCATCAGCAGTTTCCTTCTCCAGTGCCAGGCATGTGCCGCCTTGAATAGTGTAATTTATTAACTTCCCTCTCCTGCCAGCTCATGGTTTGGGCATCCATTTGTGAAGACTCAAGAATGACTGTTACCATTATAATCCACTATTTATCCACTAATGCCAGGGTTTCTTCAGATGAGGGAAAGGTGCAAGATTGAACATTGAACTTGTCGCAACACAAATGCCAGGCAATGACCATCTCCAATGAGACATTTAACCACTGCCCCTTGACAATCCAGGATGTTGCCATCACAGAATTTCCACTATCAACATTGACCAAAAGCTCAACTGGACTTGCCACATAAACAGCGGCTACGCGAGCAGGCCAGAAGCTAGGAATACTGTGGTGGGCAACTCCCCTCCATGACTGTGCAAAACGTGCCCAGCATCTGCAAGGCACAAGTCAGGAGTGTGATCAAATACTCCCACTTACCTGAATGGGTGCAGCTCCAATAACACTCAAAGGGTTGACAATCTCCAACCCATTTGATTGGCACCACATCCACAAGCATCCACTCCCTCCACCACCAGTGCTCATTGGCAAAAATATCTACAAGATACTCAGCAGAAATTCACTAATGATCCTTAGACAACATCTTCCAAACTCGTGACCACTTCCATCTAGAAGGACAAGGGCAGCAGATACATGCGAGTATCATCACCTGCAAGTTCCTCTCCAAGTCACTGTCAATCTTGACTTGGAAATATATTGCCATTTCTTCACAATCACTGGATCAAAATCCTGAAATTCCCTCCCTAAGGGCATTGTGGGTCAACCTACAGAACATGGACTGCAGTGGTTTGAGAAGGCAGCTCACCACCACTTTGAGGAGCAACTAGGGACGGTCAATAAATGCCAGCCAGCCAGCGATGCCCATGTTGCACAAGTGAATTTAAAAAGAAAACACTTTCAAGGGCACTGTCTCTTTGAAGAACATTAAATTGATGCCCCCATCAGCCCTTGTAGATGGACACAAGAATTCTGTCACGAGTGAGAAGAGCAGGGGTCTTTAGATTCTGATATGATCAGAAGGGATAAAACATTTTACATTGTATTAAAATAGAGTGGCTGGTTTAACAAACATTCATTAAACTAGTGGCACAACTTGAGAATAAGGCTTCTGTTTCACGTTCAATGACCTAACTTTTACCTTAGACTATCGTTCTCTTGTTTTGAATATTCGATCAAAACATGCACCTAAAAACCGAGTTTATTTCCTTGAGTCTCAACAAAACTTGGAGACTGATGCAATACACTTAAATAGCTGCTGTGTTTGATGTGGAACAGTGATAACTTACTCCTTGCTCTGTCTCCAAACTATTCCAGAATTATGAAAGTTTCTGGTTTGACATCTATTATTAACAGCTAAAAATCATTTAGAACAAGAATAGCTGCCTAATTCTCTTTATTGCTACAAGTGGATTATATTCTGTGGGAATTGACTTTCTTTAAATTGAGAAAACCAAAGATCAGGCACTGACAGATACAAATGAAAATGTTGACTTTTGAAACTTTCCGATCACCAAAATCAACTTGATATACAGGAATAAAGATCTTTCCCAATAGTATAAACTGAACAATCTTGAGTGATAGAGTGAATAAGGAGAAGCTTGTAAAATTGGAAGGTTTCTGAGAACAAATGGATTTAAAATCTTGGTTAGTGGAAGTAACTTTTCCCAAGGTACTTTGGGCCCCATGAACTTCTGTTGTCTGACTTTTGAATGCTGCCAGATTTACGTCATGAGAGGGTAGCAAGTTTGAACAGGCTTTTCATTTCATTATATACATAACTAAACTTCTTTGGTTAATTATGAAAATTAATTAACCCAATTAATGAGACACTTCAAGTTATTTTTTCACTTCCACACTCTTGGACAATTATAACAATAATAACTATTTATAGTGGAGCTGTTGCAAGGCATTTTGTGAGTGTTCCTACTGAACCTAACTGAGTTTTATTAAGCCTGTTGTGGTACTCCCAGTTTGTGTTTGGTACACTGACTATCAGTCATATTATACATCGCCTGTAACAAAAAGAAATGAGATTAGTGGAGTTCTAGTGATAAAATTATGCATATCTTCAGGTCACATCTCCTATACACTGTATGGGGCAGGGCTGGAATAGGGTGAGAAGGGATGGAATGAAAAGGGTTTCCATAGTTTTTAGCTTCCAGAAAGAATTAGTTGAAAGAATACTGGAATAAATCTTAATTTTGAAATAATCCAGTTACAAGATGTAACGCATTGTGCAAAAAATTTGGACTTGCAGTGTTAGTAGTAGCATCAATAGAATAAATGCCCTGTAGAAAGTATGTGAGGGAGAGAGGTTGAAGGCTAGAGAAGGGTGCTTAATGGACAAGAAGCTGCTCCTAGCCTCTAATGATGTTTTCAAGAATTTCCTGATGTGTGATTCAAATCTTGGGCAAACTTTCAGTGATAAATTATCACTGCTTTTTGTTTTACCTTTGGAACGCTGAAGTCGTTGTTAGATTTAAACAGCAGTCTGTAAGTTGTGTTTTATATTTTGATTTTCTTGCCTAAAATATTTTCTTTTGCTTAGGGCACAAGAAACATTCCTCCGCTGGGATCAATGTCGGAGGTTTTACAACTTCCTAATGGCAGATAACATGAAAAAGATTATTTTGTTTCACAGGTGATTATTTTAAATTTATGTTGGCTATTCGTATGTTTATTGTGATTATTGAATATATTCTATTTAATAAGAGTTGCAGAGTATTCGCAGATCTCTTTTTGAGAAAAGACTAACCAGATAAGCTGTTACATAATTGTAGTGACCAATCTTTAACCTATTTTAGGCTTAAGAAACCATTTTCTTGAATTCTTTTCATTCTTACTTTGTAATGCACCTGTTTGCGCTTTCTTAATCAAAGTTAATGTAGATTTTCAACCATAAAAATGCACACTTAAAAATGTAAACTGATTTAATATTTTGCTCTCTATCATTGTAGTGCCCTGGGCCCTCGAACTACAGGTCTTTCAACATCAATAATGATGCCAAAGTAAACATGTTGGATTTGCTAACATCAATGCTTACATATTGCTTTGTCACTTTAGTTTACTTTGGTACTGGTGTCCTAGTTGCCTGGGAGTTGCTAGCACGCCTAGCCATAAACAGTAAAAGCAACACTTGTTGTTTGGCCGAGGGAAGATTTTTGGTATTATTTGAACTTTTTTTTTTTAGATTTTGTAATTTCATCATTATTATTCCTAGAATCCCTACAGTGTGGAAACAAGCCATTCGGCCCAACAAGTCCACACCGACTGACCAAAGAGCATCCCACCCTATCCCTGCAACCCTGTACTTCCCCTGGCTAATCCACCTAGCCTGCACATCCCTGGACATGAGGGGCGAGTTAAGCATGGCCAATCCACCTAACCTGCACATCTTTGGACTCTGGGGGAAAAGTGCGGAGCACCCAGAGGAAACCCACACAGACACTGGAAGAATGTGCAAAGTCCACACAGTTGCTTGAGACTGGAATTGAATCTGGGACTCTGTGAGGCAGCATTGCTAACCACTGAGTCACCATGCCACCGGTATAGTCAACAAATACTGTCTCCCACTTTTTGTTTTAGGTAGGGGTCCTATGCAATCAATTAAGACCCGTGTGAAAGATTCCTCAAATGCAAGAATTAAGGGTGCTCGTTTTATTACTGCCTGAGGTTTTCTAAATACTTGACATGTATGACATGTCCGGCAAAATTCAACCACATCCCTATGCAGTCCAGGCTTAAAAAAAATTGGATTTTGGCTAGAGTTTTCCTTGCTCTTAAATGGCCTGCTGGTAATTCATGGGCAACCAACAACCAGCAACATCTTTCTGTAACCCACTGGTAAAACAATTTTTGATAAACATCTGCCTGTTTCTCATCCACCTGAATAAGTGATTGGTCTCTATTCCCTCATCAAGATGTCATTTTTAAGATCGTAACATTCTGGGATACACTCAAATTCTTCTGTGTAATAATGTTGCCATTGTATTGACGCATTGCCAATAGTAGGGTGGAGGATAACTTTTGCCATAGAATCCAGTACTAAAATATAAAAATATACATATCCAACAGCTTCTAGAGCCAGTATTTAATGGCATCTGCGAAATCTAGTATTTGTGCTCCTGTTACACTCCAAAAACTCTCAGCACTGTAGTTGTCATATTTCCCAGTGTTTTAGCTTCCACGTAAAATATGGATAGCAATTGCTTACTTTGAATTTAGCAGGTTAGAATTCCGCAGAGTGAATGCGGAGTATTGAGCTACTTTGTTCATTCTTGTATTTTATTCTGTGTTGGTTCTTTATCTTGTTTCAATGAACTATTTGGAGCCAGTGTTTATCTTGATTATCTTTAATGTAGATATGGGTGTGAATGCTCAGTTGTATAAGCATATCGTATGATGGAATAGAAAAGCAAAATATTGCAAATGCTGGAGATCTGAAATAAAGACAGTAAGTGCTGCAGAAACTTGGTAGGTAGCATCTGTGAAGAGAGAAACTGAGTTAAGATTTCAAGTTTAGTATGAGTCTAAAGAATAGTGCCTATGTTTTCCTGTGTCTGCTTTTCATAATGCTAGATTCTCTGCCAATTGACATTGGTCAAAATTAATAAGAAATAGTTAACATTTTGACTTTGGTGTTTACATTTTATATATTACAGAAAAATTTTATTTGGAGAAAATGAGTGCAAAGCACCAAATCCTCTGGCAGATGTAGACATTAGCAAACTTTATACAGCAACTTCCCTGATGCATATTGATGATAATATCATGAGGTAAGCAGCAGTCTGCCATCTTGGTTTTTGCGAGCAGTATTGCCTCTTAAAAGTTGTGGTTTGCAGCTAAGAATTTAATTTTGAGTTTACATGCCAGCAAGGCTTGTGGAAATGCTGCATTATCACAGCAGCTGTACTTTGAATTATACCTATTTAGATGGAAATAAAAGATCCCATGCCCTTCTCAGTGAAGAACTAAGGGCTTTCCCAGTGCATCAGCAGCATTGCTTTTTCAATCCTCAGCAGACAGCTTTATTTTTGTCTCCAGTAGTGTTTCAAAAATTTCCTGCTATCATGTTGAATGGTACTACAGATCCAATGGTCCATGTCTCTCTTTAATGTATTTAGTTTGACAGATTACTCTATTTAAACCCGTAGATGTTTGCGAGGATGTTTCCCTTAAACTTGCTTGTTTGGTTGTTTTCAAAACAAATCTCCTTCTCCATTTTGTGTTAATTCAAAATCTTTTCAATTATACAATTTTTATTTGGAAGAAAGTATTTTTCTGCAGGAGTGCTTTGGTTAACAGAAATCCAAAACACAAGTGCATTAGCCATGCTATTTTTGAGCATTCTTATAAATGTGATATAGTAAAGAGGTATGAGTAGAGGCCTGGTGAATAAGGGAAGGGAGTTTGTAGAATTGGAGCTTAGTAATTGGATGGGATGCATTCATGTAGCTATCTAACACACAGAATTTATAAAGGAGTGGAGGTAGGAAACCTATGCATTTACACGTGTCTAGAACTGAATTTTAAGAAATACTGCACAATTTATGCTGATAGTTTAACTCAGATGGACAAAATACTGTTTATAAAATAAGTGTATCACTGACAGTGCATAGTGTAATGAATCTAGAAAAACCTAAGTTATTGTCTTTGGTCCCTGCCACAAGTTCTGTTCTTTAGCCACCCTCCTGGCAACCGTATTAGGCTGGTTTTGATTTCCCATCCTTGATTCTATATTTGACCCGAAGATGAACTTCTTACCACGTATCAATGCCATCACTAAGATTAACTACTTTCACCTGCATCATGCTGCCTCACTGTTCTGCATCTGCCTCAATTTTTAGCTGAAACCCTCACCTGTGCCTTTAAATCTAGACTTGACTGTTCATGTATTCTTGTACCCAGTTTCCCATATACCAACTCTTAAACATTAGGACAACCAAAACTCTGCTACCCATGTCTTAACTTATGCTGAATCATATTCACTTATCACCTCTGACTTTTGACTTTTATATTGGCCTAGTTCTAGCTGGACTTCAATTTTAAAACCCTCATCGTTGTTTTCACATCTCTCCATGATCTTGCACATCTCTGCTAGTCCTGCACTCTTTCAAAATACTTCCTTCCTAAACCACACTTCTTACTAAAGCATTCCTCCACCCCTTTGACAAGGCTTTTGGACTCCAAATATCTCCTTGTGACCTGGTGTCAATAATTGTTTTTGATAATACTCCTGTGCAGCACACCAGAATGTTCACTGAGTAAACACACTATAAAACTGCATGTTGTTGAGGAAGAAAAAAGGTAAATTTTGGTCATGACGTGATTAGAATTTAATATTCAATTTAAGAGTAAGAAACTTGAGTCAGAAACAACTGTGTTTACTTAAATAAAGGGAATTATAATGAAATGAGGATAGTTACCTAAAGTGAACTGGGTGGGTAGATCAGCAAAATGATGGTAAACAAGCAGTAGCAGATATTTAATGAGGTAATTCATGACTCTCCGTAAAAATAAATCCCAGTAAGGAGGAAAGATTCTAAGAGACGAATAAATTAACCATGGCTAACCAAGGAAGTCAACAAAAGTGTTAAGTTGAAAGAAAAAGCATACAAGGAAGCCAAAGTTACTGATTATCCCATACTTCAGGAGAAATTCAGAATCCAACAAATGAGGACTAAAATAATGATAAAGACATAAAACAAACTACAAGGCAAAATAAAAGAAATATAAAAACTGACAATAAGAGCTTCCTTAAATATATAAAAAGGAAGAGATAGGTCCAAATGATCATAGTCCCCTTAAAAAATGATGCTAGGAAACAAGGAAATAGCAGAGAAGTTAAACAGATGTTGTACACCAGTCTTTACAGTGGAAGATACTTCAAACATTCCCTTAATACTAATAAATATAGGGGAAGAATTGGGTACTATAACCACCACTAAAGAAGTAATATCACACAAACTAATGGAGCAAAAGGCAGATATGTCCCTGGCCCTGATGGCATGCATCCTAGGATCCTAAAAGGGGCAGCTACAGGAAGCATTGGTTGTAATTTTCCAAGAATTTAAGTTGGATTTCCAAGTTGAATTCTGAAAACAAAGAACAGTACAGCACAGGAACAGACCTTTCAGCCCAACAAGACTGTGCCGACATATGATGCCTTGCTAAACTAAAAGCTTTCTGCCTGTACACAGTCCATAGCCCTCTATTTTCTACCTATTCATTTACATGTCAAGATCCCTCTTAAATGTTGTGATCCTATCTGTCTCCATCAGCACATTCCAGGCACTTACCACTCTGTTTAAAACAAAATTTGCTTCTCATTGCCTTCTTTAAACTTACCCTTTTTAGCCTTAAACCTATATCCCCCAGTAATTGATATTTCTGCCCTGGGGCAAAAGACTCTGTCTGGCCATTCTATCCATGCCTCTCGTTATTTTGTAAACTTTTATCTGGTTGCCCCTCCTCCTTTTGTTTAATTGAAACCAAACCATGTTTGTCCAATCTCTCTTCATGGCTAATACCCTGCAAACCTGGCCTTTTTCCTGGTAAATGGTTTCTGTATGCTAGTCAAAGCATCCATGTCCTTCTGGTAGTGCAGCAACCAGAACTGTACATAATGTTTCAAAATATGGTCTAACTAAAGCTCTGCAGCTATAACAACATGACTTACTGATTTTTATACACTCTGCCACGAGTGATGAAGGCAAGCATGCCATATGCCTTCATGACCACCTTATCCACTTGGGTTGCCACTTTCAGGGAACGGTACGCCTAGATTCTCTGTCAATGCTACATGCATTAGATGTTTCAAAATGCAGGACTTCGCATTTGCCTGAATTGAACTCCATCTGCCATTTCTCTGCCTGTGTCTCCAGCCTATCTATGTCATCCTTCACTATTGACAGCTCCTCCAATCTTTGTGTCATCCACAACTTAGTAGTCAGACCTGCTACATTATATTACAAATGGGTCCCAACATTGCTGCCCTGTTTGACAGGGATCAAAGTGGTTGGCACTGATTCCAGCCTAAGGTAATTGTCTGTGTGGAGTTTGCATATTTTCCCTGTGTCTGCATAGGTTTCCTTCCACAGATGTGAGAGTTAGGTGGATTGGTCATGCAGAAAAAAGTTGCAGGGTTACAGGGTTGGGGTGGGATGCTGTTAGGAGGGTTTGTGCAGACTCAGTGAGCCAAATGGCCTCTTCTTGCACTGTGGTGATTCTGATTCAATGAACACCACTGATCACAGATATCCAGTCAGAGAAACCCCTTTCCCCAGCTACTATCTGTCTATGACTCAGCCAGTTCTGTATACATCTTACCAGTGCATAGCAGATCCCATGTGACTTCACCTTTTGTATCAGCCTGCCTTGAGGAACCTACTTCCTCATACAACCCAGTCAAGTTTGAGACATGACCTGCCCTGCACAAAGCCATGCTGTTTATCACCACTAAGTCCATATTTTTCCACATGGGAGTCAATCCTATCCCTAAGAATCATTTCCAATAATTTCCTTACCAATGACATATAAATCTCACCGGCCTGTAATTTCTCAGACTATTCCTGTTGCCATTCTTAAAAGAACAAGGTTGGCTGTTCTCCAGTCTTCTGGGACCTCTCCTGTGACTAACAATTTTACAAAGAATTTGTACAAGGCCCCAGCAATTTCCTCACCTGCTCCCTCAGCATTCACTGATAGATCCCATCAGGTGCCAGGGACTTATCTACCTTTTAATGCTTTACCAAACAACCAACACTACCGCCTTTTTTATATTGACATGCCCCAGAGTATTAACATGGCCCGTCTGAGACTCACCATCCACCACATCCCTCTCCTTTGTTAATACCAGTGTAAAGTATTCGTTAAGGACCTCACCCGTGTTCTCCAACTGCAAGCATAAATTCCCTCCTTTGTCCTCGAGTGGACCTATCCTTTCCATAGCTACCTTCTTGGTGCTTATATGTATGAAGTACCTAGGAATTTTCCTTAATCCTGTTTGCCAAAGACATTTCATGGCCCCTTTTAGCTCTAATTCCTTGTTTTGAGTTTTTTTTCTGTTTTTGTATTCTTCAAGGGCTTTGTCTGTCTTCAGATCCTTAAACTTTACATATGGCTCCTTTTTTTTCTTTTTCACTTAGTTCTCAATATGTCGTCAGCCATGATTCCTGAATCTTGCCACCCTTATCCTTTGTTTTCAGAGGAACATGCTGGTTCTGATCTCGAATCAACTGGTGTTTTAAAAGATTCCCACATGCCAGATGTGAATTTACCTTCAAATGGCCACCGCAAATCTATATTCCCCAGTTCCTGCCCGATATTGTGGTAATTAGCCTTCTCCCAGTCTAGTACTTTCAACTGAGGACTGCTCCTATCCTTATCTATAAGTAACTTAAAACTTGTATAATTATGGCCACTGTCCCCGAAATACTCCCCCACTGAAACTTCAATCACGTGGCCAGGCTAATTCCCCGAATACGAGGTTGAGTATGGCCCTTCCATATTTGGACTATTTACATATTGATTCAAAAAAAAAACTATCCTGGACGCACTTAACAAATTCCTCCCCATTAAAATCCCTGGTACTAAAGTGAGCCCCAGTTAATACAAGGGAAGTTAAAATTCCTACCACAAGAACCCTGTTGTTTTTGTTTTCCATAATCTGCCCACATATCTGTTCCTCCTTCACCCGCTGGCGGTTGGGAGGCCTAAAGCATTACCCCATGATAGTGTTTGCACTTTGTTATTCTGAGTTCCACCAATGTGGCTTTTCTGGACAAACCCTAAAGGTGTCCTCCCACAGTATAGCTGTGACACTCTCTGCCTTACCAGTAATGCATTACCCCACCTCTTTTACATCCCTCTCTATCTCATCTGAAGCATCCAAATCCCAAAACCTAAAGATAGCAGTCTTGTCCTTCTCATAGCTAAGTTTCTGTGATAGCTACAACATCACCAGGTATATGTATTAATCCAAGCTGTAAGTTTATCTGCCTTACCTGTCATGCTCCTCACCTTAAAACAAATATACCTTGGACTGCCAGTCCTCCATGTTCACTAACCTCTCCCTGTCTGTTCTTCCTCTGAATCTTACTGGTCTTAATCTCTGACACTTTGGCCATTTTATTTGCTGACCTACTGCTCTGGTTCCCACACCCTGCCACACTAGTTTAAACCCTCCTGAATGGGAGGATATTGGTGCCCCTCTAGGTGCAACCTGTCCTCCTTGTACAGGTCCCAGCTGCCCCAGAAGACATCCCAATGGTGCACATACCTGAAGCCCTCCCTCCTCCTTCAGCTCTTTAGTCACGTATTTAACTGTATTATCTTTGTATTCCTAGCCTCATTGGCACTTGGTACAGGAATTAATCCTGAGATTACAATCCGAGAGGTGCTGCTTTTCAACTTCCTACCTAACTTTCTTTGCAGACCTTGAAATAACTCCACAAAGGCTAGTATCCCATCACCAGGTCATCCTTTTATTTATACATGGCAAGTCCTTGACTCTGGTATGGCCTCAGTCAATTCCCAGAGTGTCAGGATGTCTGTTGTTATGTATCAGCTAGGGCCTCCTGACTGGGGCTGTTAATCTGGCCCAATCAGGGAACAACTTGTTGCTATCCACCTGGCTTACCTCGTTACAATCACTACAGAACAAATCGCACTCTCTCTCTCTGCTTGTGTCATTAGCATCAATATGGACCACAAACTCTGGCTGCTCACCCTCCCACTTGAGAATGTCATTTGCCTGTGGAGACATGCTTGATTTTGGCACCAGGAAGGCAACATGCCATCCTGGAGCCTCACTTGCAGCCACAAAATGTCTCTGTGCCTGTGACCATCAAGTCCCCTATCACTATTGCCTGCCTAATCTTTGACCCTTCATGGTGCCACTGATCTATCTGTTACTGCTTTCCCCTGAGAGGCCATCCCTCCAAAATGTTGGAGAGGATAATGGTCACAGGGGACTCTTGCACTGTCTGTCCACGCTTACTCCTCTTCCTAGTGGTCATCTAACTCTTCTCTATATGTGTAGCCCATACCGGTTGTGTGACCAGCTCGCTAACCGTGCTATCCGTGACATTTTCGGCCTCGTGGTTGCTCCATAGTCAGTCCACCCGTATCTCCAGGTGCTCTTGGCAAATCAGGAACTGCAGCGAAACACACTTTCTGGGTATGTGGTCACCACAGACACTTAAAAAGTGTCCCTGATTTCCCACATACTGCAGGAGAAGCATTCCATGGGGCCACTGTCTCCTATTTCAAAGGAACTGATTACACAACAGTACCCACTCATCAAATTCATCTCTTGCTCCTGCTCTTTATTCCTAGGACAAAACGATACAAATATAGGTAGAGGGATAGGTAATATTGAGAATGCAGAGAGGCTGCAGAAGGATTTGGACAGGTTAGGAGAGTGGGCAAACAAGTGGCAGTTGGAGTACAACATGGGAAAGTGTGAGGAAATGCACTTTGGTAAGAAGAATAGAGGTGTGGACTATTTTCTAAATGGTGAGAAAATTCAGAAGTATGAAGTGCAAAGAGACATGGGAGTTCTAGTCCAGGATTCTCTCAAGGTAAACTTGCAGATTGAATCAGTAGTCAGGAAGGCACATGCAATGTTGGCATTTATTTTGGGAGGACTTGAATATAAAAGCAGGGATGTACTTCTGAGGCTCTATAAGGCTCTGGTCAGGCCACATTTGGGGTATTGTACGCAGTTTTGGGCCCCATATCTCAGGAAAGATGTACTGGCCCTGGAGCAGGTTCGGAGGAAGTTCGAGAGTGGTCCCAGGAATGAAAAGCTTAATCTGAGGAATGTTTGAGGACTCTAGGTCTATACTGAATGGAGTTTAGAAGATTGAGGGGGATCTAATTGAAACTTAGAATACTGAATGGCGTGGACAGAGTGGATGTTGGAAAGATATTTCTATCGGTGGTAGTGACTAGGACCCGAGGGCGCAGCCTTAAACAGAAGACCTTTTTTAGAATGGAGATAAGGAGAAAAGTCTTCAGCCAGAGTATGTTGAATCTGTGGAATTCACTGCCACAGAAGGCTGTGGAACCCAGGTCATCGAGTATATTTAAGATGGAGATAGGTTCTTAATTGTCAAGGGGATCAAGGGTTGTGGGAGAACGGAGTTGAGAAACGGATCAGCCATGTTTGAATGACAGAGCAGATTCATTGGGCTGAATGGCCGAATTTCTGCTCCTATGTCTTATGATAAGTACTTTATCTCTCTCTAGACACTATTCTCTCGGTCTGCAAACCTGGTTCCTAAGCAGCAAAGCCAAAGCCAATATTTGATTGGTGTTGTCACCTCCTGAGTTTCACCCCGAGATTCAGCTCCATGTCGCTGCTGTGCGCCCAGGTTCATTCTCCTTCACCCTGTTGGTGCTAATGTTACTGCTCAGACTGACCTTGGTCCAGGCTGATGTTCGATGTAGGCCACTCTTCCCAGACCAGAAGTACCAGAGGATCGGAAAACTGCTAATGTGACACCCTATTTAAAAAGTTACCTTGTTTTTACTTTACTGTCTATCAGCCAAATAGCCTAGCATCTGTTGTTGGGATAGTATTGGAATCAATTATTAAGAAAATAATTGCAGAACATTTAGAAAATCATAATCTAATGAAAGGGAAATCATGTCTGACTAATTTGTTAGCCCTTTTCAAGGAAGTCTCAACCAGAGTCAGAGGGGAACCAGCAGATGTGTTGTATTTAGATTTCCAGAAGGCATTCAACAAGGTACCCCCTAAAAGGTTAAGTCATAAGAGCCCATGGTGTTGGAGGTAATATATTGACACAGATAAATCATTTGTTTGTGGACAAGAAACTGTGCGGCTAAGGGATTCTTTTTCAAGTTGGCAACCTGTGATCTGTGGATTTCCAAGGGATCAATGCTGGGACTGCAACTGTTAACAATATATAATAATAATTAGGAGGAAGGAACTGAATCTACTGCAGCTTGATTTACAGACAATGCTAAAACAGGTGGAAAGGCAGGTTGTGAGAAGGATACAGTTTTCAGAGAGATATTGATAAGTAAAGTAAGTCAGCAAAAAGATGGCAAATGGAGTATAATGTGGGAAAGTACAAATATTGGATTATTTTGGTAGGGACAACAAAAGATGATTTAAATGGAGAAAAACTGCCGAAAGCTGCAACACGAAAGGGCCCGTGTGTACTTGTGCATGAAACACGAAGTTAGGTGCTGCACTTAACCAGGAAAGCTTAATGAAATGTTGGACCTTATCTCAAAGAGGTTGGAGTATGAGTTGGACAAACTTAGTGCAACTGTACAAGATGCTGGTGAGACCACATCTGGAGTACTGTGAGCCATTTGGGTCCCCTTATTTTAGAAATCTCTTTTCATTTGAGACAGTTCAGAAAAGGTTCACTAGGATGATCTCTGATATGGAGAGATTGTCTTATGAGCAATCGCTGAACAGGTTGGGACTGTACTCACTGGAGTTTAGAAGAATGAGAAGTGATCTCTTTGAAGTGTATAGGATTCTTAAGGGGCTTGACACAGTAAAAGCTGAGAGGATGTTTCCCCTCAGACTCTAGGACCAGATGGCAGAATAAAGGGGCATCAATTTAAGATTGAGTTGAGAAGGAGTTTCTTCTGAGGGTTGTGACTCTTCGGAGCTCCTTGCCACAGAGAACCATGGTGGTAGGGTTCTTGTGTGTATTTAAGGTTGAGATGTATAGATTCTTGATCAGTAGGGAATCAAAGATAACAGGGAAAGGGCAGAAAAATGGGCATGAGTGTTGGATCCTATTGAATGTCTAAGCAGGTTCAAGGAGCCAAATGGCCTACTTCTGTTCCTGTTTCTTATGGTTTTAAGTGTTTCTAACCCGCCACTTGCATGCTGCTTGTAATAATCTTAAATTTATATCTCTAATAGTTCATTAGTTTGTACAAATAAGATTTTGTAATAAAATCTGCTTTCATAATTTTAATACATTTCCTTGATCACCTCTTAACTTTTATTCTAGAAAATGCATAGATTGTGACCATGAAAAAAGTGTTAATTTGAGATGCTTTGGTAATTCAATGTTTTGATATCGTATTTTCAATATAATTATACTATATGCATATTTTGACTGTAGTGTGAGTAGTTAACTTCAGTCTTTGTTCAAAACACTTTCCTTTGAGCTTGTCTCTAATGCATTTTGGATCTACAGTTGTATCTATATCTGTCTTTTTCAGAAAGTTCCATGGGTATCACACACTGAAAGAATATTATGAGAAAGAAAGTTGTATGCACTATCTTCACAATGTAAGTCAGCTTCATTCAGGTTTAAATTGTAATCCATTTCTTTGCAAATTACTGCAATGTGGTTTTGTAATAACTTTATCCAGTTTTAAAAGACTATAAAAAGCAGGCATCACTACAAATGACATGGTATGTGGTCAATTGACGTTCCTGGAATGCTGGTCCCCGAAGTTTTGATATCTTTTTCCACTAGTACTTATTATTTTTGTTGGTAAATATAAATTGTTATTGAACTGTATTGTGATAGAATGCAAATTAATGGAATCAAAAGGGGCTTCTTATTGCCATGACAACAAAGCTTAATGAGCACCAAGGGGGTGTGTGTTGCATTATAGATGTGGAGATTTTTTTTCAGTTTTCTCACCTGTGTTTTTATTTATTGTTCACCTCCCCTGTTGAAATGTCTGGTGTTTTAAGAAATAAAATTGAAAATCCAGTCTATATTTTGAGATGCATAGCAAGAAAGGCTATTAAGACCTTCCCTAGCTTCACATAGTAATCCAAGCAAATCTGTCCCTGTCCAGCACATTTTTGCACTTGAGATTTATATCCTCCAGCAGGATGAAGTACTCCGTGCTGTATAATTTCCAGTGAAAATTTCTACTGTGGCTGCTTGGGAAGAGACTGTGTTCACCCAAGTCTCGATTATTTTTGTCTTGCTTTTTACAAAATATATCCAGGTTAATCCACGAGTAGTATCACTTAACTTTGTTGATAGCTACATTAGTTTGATGCATGTTCTTGTTTGTAAAAGTTGGTGTTGATTTCAGTAGTTTCATTTTAAGCATCTACACTTTGTATTAACGGTGGAAGGTCATGAATTCTCTATCAGGCATTTAAAATAGTTATAGGATTTTTTTGTGCTGTTCTCAAACACAACACATTAGTGCTGGGATTACTTGGCGTATTTCTGTCTATAAACAGAGGGAAATATTATACAGGCCAGTTCACTTTAAAGTGTTGCATTTGTTCCCTGTCAAACAATTCCTATCTATGCGGGTTTGTAACCTCTAGTACTATGCACAGCATGTACGTTAGGACAACCCCAATTTATCCAAAGAACACTGAGCATTCTGGATGTTTTCCACAGTTAATGACATAAAGTAGAAACATTCTTATGTATTTGCCATTTGGCTTTGCTAAAATTCATATTTTTTGGGTTGGGATTGGTAGACTAGAGAAGAAAGAAGAGAAGTTTTATAGTGAATTTCATAAAACATCAGACCTGCTATTAAGCATTTCTGAAATACCCATGGCAAATATTTGTATAGTAAGAATACTGGGAGTAAGATGCAAGCAAACTAGTCAAGATAATGCAGTTTCTTTGCGCAAGTAAACATTTGGAATTAGAGTATTTGAAAGGCTTGTCTTTTCTGTCAGTATATGGCATCTGTTTGTAATATAATGACTATTTTACCTGCTGATACAGATCCAGGTTCCTCTTCTACTAGTGAATGCTTCTGATGATCCCCTAGTGCATGAAAGCTTGTTGACCATCCCCCGTTCACTTGCAGGTGAGTTTAGTAATTCTACTTTTTATATGTTAGAAACGAACAGCAAACTACTCCTCCATTTTTAATGCTTGTTAGGAAGTCAGTTAGCTTAGTTGGCTGGATGGCTTGTTTGTTTGTGATGCAGACTGATGCTGTTCAATTCCCATAACAGCTAGGTTGCCATGAAGGACTGTCCTTCTTCTCAGCCTTTCCCTCCCCTGAGGCATGGTGACCTTCAGTTAACACCACCACCAGTAGACTCTTAATAGAGAGCAACTCTATGGTCTAGTAAGGCTGTGGCAATTTTACCTTTTATTATGTAAATACTTTCTATCTAACAAACTGGAAATGCTTGACAGTTGATCTTGGGTCAATCAATTAGCATTACACAGTTTAAACATTAGTGCCAAATATTTCAGTACTGTCTTTGATTCAGATTCAATTTACGATATTTTAAAATTCAGCCATGTTTTGAGGATTAGAAGAAAACAATAATTGTTTACAGTTTTAAAATTGACTTAGACTTAGTTGCTTTCATTTTATTCAAAAGTGCACAGTCCAGCTCCTGGAATCTGACAAGTTTGTATTCTATGTTGCTACCAACTGTGCAAGAGCTTTGAACTGGGAGCCTGTTGTGCTGTGCAATGTAAAAGCAGTTTATCAACACATGGCATATTCACACTTGACCTAACTCTAACATTACATACCTGTCCCTGTAACCTGTCCATTGCTCACAGCTTTTGCTTGATAAAACTAAAGATTGTTGTGCCATTCTGAAACCTGCATTTGTGTTTCACTGTTCCATTTTTTGAACCCAGCATCATTTACGTTTTGCATCTGTGTTGAATTCTGCCAGTGAAACATGCCTGAAAGGAATGCAACTGAGCAGAAAATTAACCTGCATAGTTTGAGTAGTGTCCTATAAATCAGACATCAAGCAGAACTTTTAAGCAGCCAGTCTTGGTCAATCTCACTAAATTCAGTCTGTGACCAGGGTCAGCTAGGAGACTGTAGCAAGGCAATGGATGACTTGATATGGAACATGATTTGAGATACAAGGCACTGGCAGGAAGGAGTGATATATGCAGTAAACTACTTTTTTTTTAGCATTTTAAAATCTTGTTTGATACAGAAGTACTTTATGGGAAAGTTTCTTGCGCAACTTTCACAGATTGAACTGCAAGATCGGCATGGTGTGTACCTCTGAACTCTGGACTGCGGTTAAAATTGATTAGGTGTGTACTCTTGAATACCAGAGAAGCTTGGCAGCCATGAAATCTTTCTGTGCACAGATGGGATGAATTTGTTCAATTCTTAGTCATTGGTTGAGTGTCTGTTTTTACTATGGTTACAACAGATTAGACAAAAAGTCTGAAGCTGATGGCTGCACAGTGTGCTATGCAGCTAACAAAGCCTGAATTACACTGAGCTGTGAATCACACATTAGCAACCAGCAGAGCTCTGCTTGTGGCCAATCAATTTCAAGTATTTTCAGAGCACAGATGGAAGTGTCTGTGTTCATGAAGCAATGAAATAAAAAAAACACTCAAGATTATGAAGTGAAGATTATACTTAATTGAACCTGAATGAACTGCAGATACTTTCAGGAGTGAGATCATGACCTCACTCTGGGGGTCTGACTGTTGATTTAGCATGGATGTAAAATAGTTGTGTGTTGTTAGTTTTATATTAGAGTTGTTTCAGATGGGATTTGGGAGGAAAGCAGAAAAGTGAGCACTGAAAAGTGTTAAAATAATACGATGAGGAAATTGCAGCTGCTTTAACCCTAAATTGTGCCTCGTCAGTTTAAAAAAAATTGCAAATGTCACTCCAATATTTAAGGAAGCAAAAGACTGACCAGTAAACTAAAAACATGCCTGTTAAAGTAAGTGGAATCTATCATCATAGACAATATAACTGACTACTTGGTCAGGTTTCAACTGATGAAGGAATAAACGTAGACTTCTGTAGGCTCAATGTCTGACCAATTTAGTTTAGTTTTTTGTTGCAATTGATGGAGGTTGTACGTATGGACTTGCAGACAGAATTTGCAGAAGTTTTGTACAAAAGATTGTTGTCAAAAATTGCTAAGGCAAAGAATTCAAGGTAACTTTCTGACACAAGCGAAGAGATAGTTGACAAACTGAGATAAAGGGAAGTTTCTTTGGCAGAATGTGACAAATGGTCTCTTTGGGATTAGTATTAGGGCCTTGATTTTTCACAATACATATTCATAAATTTGGTGGAGGGCTAGAGATATATATCCAAACTTTCAGGTAACTCCCTCCTCCCATCTAAATAACAAACCATTACCCTGTGACAGAGATAGTAGGAACTGCAGATGCTGGTGAATCCGAGACAACAAGGTGCAGGGCTGTGACATATTGCTTAAGGTAGAAAGACTAACTGAGCAGGCAAAGTTATCGTATTTGAATTCATAGTGGAAGAGTGTAAAGTTTGGATCTGAGAAAAAGGCTCATTTCACAGTAATGAGAGACAAAGCTATGAAGAACATGTTTTATTGATAGCCTTACCTCCATCAAAATATCAGAGGTGGGGTCATTTGCTGACAATCTCACAATGTCCAACACCGAAGCAATCAATGTCCAAATGCAGAAGAAAAGGACAACATTTGGACTTGGACTGCCAAGTGGTAAGTGACATTTGTACCATGCAGGCAATAGCTACCTTTAACGATTAGCATTCAATGGTATTGCCATCACTAAATCCCCCACTATCAAAATCATAGAGGTTAGCATGGACCAAAAACTGAACTGAACCAATCATACAAATGCTGTGGCTATAGAGCAGAGGGTGGGAATTCTCCAGTCAGCAACTTCTCTCCTGACAACTCAAAGCCAGTCCACTAACTGCAAGGCACAAGTGAGGAGTACCCTTCACTTGCCTGGATGAGTGCAGTTCCAACAACATTGAAAGCTTGCCATTAACCCATTTGTTTGCTACCTCATCTAATATCTCCGCATTCACTTCCTCCACCACTGACAAGCAATGACAGTAGTGTTTACCAACCACAAGATGCACTGAAGCAACTCAAACTTGTTCAGCTTGCACGTGGAGTACTGCATTTAACTTTGGGCACCAAATTTCAACATACATACCAACCTTTAACTAGGTACAGTCCGTTCTGAAGAAGGGTCATTGGACACAAAACGTTGTCTGCTTTCTCTGCATAGATGCCACCAGGCCTGTTGAGTTTCTCCAGCAATTTGTTTGTTTTTGTTTTAGATTGATATGCTGATTGGTCTTGGAACAAACTCACCTGAATGATGTTGGTTTTAAAGGATTAAATGTTAGACTACCTATGGACACTTGTGTTCTCCTAAACATACAAAGATAAGAGGTTATGACAGAGGTTGGAGGGGTGCATCAGTTCCTGTATACAGTATTGCCATTTCTCCACTGATAACAAATTTGAAATTTAATCAGTGATAATATGTCCAGTTAAATAGGTTTTAAGTCAGCCATATTTCTTTAGTGAACAAAGAATAAAGGGTTTATTACAAGTAAAACTTAAATGTGCAAAGATTATGGACAAAAACGATTTAGACTGTGCGGTGATAGATATACAAATAGTCACTTGATCATACAAAGCTTAACTATCACTGAAAGAAAGCAAAGCATTTCATCTTACTATCATCAGGGTTGTTCACAAGAATACCAGTTTAAGGGAAAACTAACATTTATGGTTTCTGTCTGCAAAGAATAGGGCACTATGTGTTTAGTATGCATAGCTTCCAGTACATACAAGTGCACCACACCGTGAGCCCAACTGGCAACTGTAAGTTGTATTGTAATCATATTCTTTCCACAGTCTAGATTCTGCAGCAACTGTCCAATTGCAAAATCATATTTAATGTTGGACATTGTTGTGGGATTTGCAAACTTGGACTGTTTGGGTATGGCCAGTAACTTGCTTGTTGCAAACAGCCAAAGGAATCTGCTGTTTAATATGATCTATCAGCCTTTGGGGCATGCAACCTGATTACCTAGCCTCTCACTGGCACTGAGATTCATAAACCACATTAATCTCATCAGTTGTGTAAAGGGCAGAACATCTTGTCTTCACGACAACAACTTGTTAGTGATGTACACAACTCCTTATTACTGCATAGCACTGAGAAACGGCTAGTTTCACCTTTTGCTCAAACTTCTGAGATGCCTTTTACAGGTGGTCCTTATTAGCACGTCTTGTCCAATAATGCAATCTTTTGAGTTTAAAATATTCTCAATGAGAGGTTAACCTCAATGTTTAGAATTTATTCTAAGATTAGTTACGCTGGAGTTTCTATTTTAGCGCAGTGGATTGTAACAAAATCAGAACTTTGAAACCTATCATGAGAGAACTGTAAATATACCTAAAGGAGAGTCATGCTATCCCACATGTTTGACATAATAAGAGTATGCCTCCACTGTCTGTGTGGGTAGGTTTTCAAAAAACGTGCCTGGGATCAATTCAAATACATGAATGAACTCTTCCACTTTTCAGAACTGAAACGGTTCTATGGATTTGAAAACTTGCCAATATAATTGTGACATAAGGAACAACTGTAACACATTTTTTCTGTTAAGGCAATACTATTAATGAATATATACTTCTCTGAACACTGTCTAGAGTCTGATGTACAGTGAGGCAATATGACAAGCTGTTGCTAGCCAATGGTTCGATGTGAGATTAGTGATGACAGTGTAGTCTCTCTGTTGTTTTTCTCCCCCAGTATGACAATGAGACAATCTGTATAATTCTGAAGTTATTATAATGTATAAAAATATTTATCATAATTGCAATTTTTTACATCAATGATTGTTATAGAGCCGTAAATTAAACTTTCCCAACCTGGAGACTTAACATAAATTTGACCTGTATTAGTAGGCCTACAGAAAACTAGTGAGTAAAAACACTTTGGCATGTGTAGCACACGTATTTCCATCCTTGTTGAAAGTTAGTTGGAAAATTTTTTTTTTATTGGTTGGATCTTTCATCTACTGATTTTAATTTTTTTGCTTGATGTAAGTATAAATCTCCCTTTTGGGGCAAACATTTCATAAAAGACATTGAAGCTTCTTAGCTCCATCAGTCAAGCTGTTGATTTCCTGTTATGTACAAGAAAACCTAGCTTGCTTAGTGAAAAAAGCCATTCAGCAGTGCAGAGTTCTGAAAGTCTCTGATGTTTGTTTGGTTACCTTGTACTCTCAGTATGCCAATTGACTATGAAGCTGTGCTGCAGTTTAATGAGCTGGACAGCAGGTGCTGCTGGGTAAATATTTGGCTATGGCGCCATCTCCTGTAAAAATACACTGCACTTACTGACTTGTCCTTTTATCCTTGTTCTCTAAAGTGGATGTATTCATGAGCTAAAACAAGTTTATAATTGGATAAAAATGTTTTGTTTCGTTTAATTTTGTGGATTATCACAGTTTCAGATGAATCAGACTCATTACTTAAATAGCTGTGCAAAGTGCCTGCTTCGTTTGATTAGTATAAATTGAGTTTTAACCGGATTGCAACTTCTGACTACTGTGGTGTGAATATCAAAACAAAGTTTCATCGTGACCTTGTCTGACATCCACGCATTTAGATCAGTGGATATTGATCATGAACTTTTAGCTAATTTCTTGCCCCTAATCCTCTCCTTTTTTTATGCCTTCTCCTCTGACCCTTGCTTTCGTCCTTTGCATGCTCCCTCTCTTTTCTGCCTCCTGCTTCCATCACCCTGTTTGCACCGCTTCCCCCCACGCCCCAACCCCAGTAGATGGGCAGTGAGGTCAGTTGTAGCAGCTTTACCCTTCCCTAGACTGAGACCAATTGATTCAACTGCAATAATCTTTCAATATGAATCCATCCTTCACTAATCCGTTCACATACTTCACTTACCAACTGAACTATCAAGGAAACAATAAGAATCTGATATGAAGTTAGTGATTCTTCATACACAAACACAGAATCAAGATTGCAATTTCTTTTAACTAGTTGATGTTAATGTTTACTGATGTGCATTCAGTTCTCTGCGAATGGCTTGCAATTTATAACTACTTTCTCTTACTTTTCTTTCAGAGAAAAAAGAAAACGTCATGTTTGTGTTAACTTTACATGGTGGCCACCTTGGATTCTTTGAAGGAGCAGTACTCTTCCCAAAACCTTTAACTTGGATGGATAAGCTTATTATAGAATACACAAATGCCATCTGTCACTGGGAGAAAAACAAGCCCCATTGTACAGCAGCTGGAGACCAGAGCTGCTCAGAGTACAGTGATTAACCTTTGCACAAATCTCATTTGCCAAACTCTAATCATTTAGCCCTTATCATTGTTACATTCCTGACCTGGGTTTGACTACCTTAAAACTAATCCCTGCTATTAATGTAGCTCAACCAGCAGAATCAAACTCTTTTATCACCAAGGTTTAAATATGATTGTAAGGCCCTTTTCTATGCCTATCTCCACTAAAAGCAACTTGGAGCACACACAAAATGATAACTCACTGTGTTTGCACAACAGCACAGTGATTAGACATGGGACAAGAGTTACTCTTACCAAGGAATATCTGATATCCGTAGGTTTGGAGCAAATGAGCCACATATAGGATTCCTAGAAGTTAAACGTGTCTTTGCAAGAGCTCATTTGTTTAAAGAATTGTGCCTTCTATTATATATCTTTTAACTTATGACAAAAGGCATTTATTTTTCTGCCCTGCCAAGAGGTTCAGTTTTGGTCATTTGATCAGACTAAGTGCAGCAAAGTGTTTGAGTTTAATAAATACATTTACAAAGAGAAGACTTTCACTGGTTTTTGTCATTTTAGAGAAACTGAATATAGAACTCTCACTTGGAGGGTGTGGGCAGGGGAACTCTTGCAACATTATTTTGTTACTTCTGTTTGCCGCTGTGTGGTAGGTACTCCAGATAGATATTGTAAACATCCTGTTCAGGTGTGTTGTGACAGATTTAAGGAGCAGGTGGAACTTGAACTTGAGCCTTCTGGTTCAAAGGTAGAAATGCTACCACTGCATCACAAGAGCCGTCCATACGATACTCCAGGAAACAATATTGAGCTGGATGATCTGCAACTGTGGTGCAATTTGCCTCTGGAATATGTATCAAATCTGAGTGTTTGCATTGACTCAGTACTTAATACTGTAGTGTTTGATCAGCACTATTTTTAGCCTTTCAAAACGGACACAATAGAATGTCTATAGAAATAATTTTGCAAAAAAACTCAAATAATTTCCATTTAAATCCATGTATTTCTACCAGTTTTGCATTTTTTCCAAATATGGAAGCTACTGCAATTGACTCATGGGCATGAAGGTGGTCTAGATCTACATTTATTTAAAAATCATTTTAAAAATGTTATTTACTCTGGTTATAAATGTTTTGCCCTTTGTAGAGATCATTCCACTGAGAACTTGATATATTCTCAGCCATTCCAGCAAGTGCAAAGCTAGTTGTGAATCCTCTTAAGTCAGCTTGGTGGCTGTTCTATCTCCTAGTGGAATTTGTATATGCACAGCCTTTTAATATTTTTGAATCAAACAGTTGAAAGGAGGTGTAAATTGCCAGGAAGTTAGTTGAAATGTTAATCAGTTTTTAAAGCTTATTTCTTCTCACTACTATAAAACTGTTTCCCAAGTTATTCCTGATCTGTGCAGTGTTAAATGATTTTGATTAGGGAAGCAACAGGAAATGCTTCAGTTAGTGACAGGACTCTGAGGATAATTGGAAATAAAACATTGCCTTCCACTTTCCGATCGCTTTCCAATAATTTTTTGCAGTGCACCCATTTTTGTGGAATGGACTTGGGGATATATGAATGTATTTGCTGCCTGGAAATTGAGGAAGCATCATTTGGAGAGACAAAAATTCAGAAGCCAATATTATGCAATGTTCCATTTCTTCATTGCCCATTCCAAGAACAGTTGTGTTCTATTTAGTCAGCCAATGACAGTGGATGAGTATGAGATTTTGTTCAGTATCCAGTTATGTCTTGGAGTTTCAACACTGGGAAAATATGATATTGGTAAGAGAGTCAAATTAGCTCACATCAGAGATTCTCTAGTTAAACCCTAATTTAGTAGTTTCTGTAGACTGATTTATGAAACCAAGTTAGATTTTTAAGTAATAATGACTTGCAAAATTGTTTTAAGTTCTGTCAACTGTTCTAATGGTAATTCAATTTGAGTACTTATTATAATAGCAAAAGTATAAAACTTATGCCGCATCCAGTAGAATGAACCCCAGCTTGGTCAAGTCAGTAGTTACTAAACTAAAGACTGTTGAGTGCATTTGTATGTAGTCACCATCACCACGCCAGCAGCAGTCTTTGTGGCAGACTAAGTTCAAATTATGTATAATGCTCCACTGTGGAGCTGTGATGCTGCTTCCAACTTGAGAAGGAAAATCATTTATTTGAATCTGTGCTTTAAGATCTGAAAATTAGGTTATGATTCTCCGCCCCTGCTTTTCAAGGCTGTCAGGTTAGCCATATGTGATTGTATAACACTGTCTAACATCTGTGTATAGATGTGTGAGCTAATGCTATTGCTGTACCTAGGGAGTTTGGTAAAGGGCAGGGAAAGCATTGGTAATTACTTAATCAACTGAAAAGTTTTTAATATTATTGTTAAAGTGGCTAATCCTATAGGAAACTTTATCTGATCAGGTGATTAGTGCCTTAAACTTCAGTATGGATAGTATACAGTTGGCATCCAGGCAGCCAGCTCCTGGTAGAATGATAGAAATCTATCTGCCTGTGTATCTGGGTGATGTTTGATTAATGTATAAAATCTGAATTTTCCTGCTTGAAAATCTGACTGTGTCGATGTGCAAATAATGAGCTCTTATCATGTGGTTCTGGAAGCGTTACAATTCTCAACATTTTTAAGCCATTTAGAAATTGCTTGATGATTTCTGTTTAAAAGAAGGAAAACAGTTTCAAACTGCTATAGTCAAACTTCTCACTCCCTGGAATATCTTGGGGTAACGTTGGTCTGTTGATGCTTAACTTTTATGGGTGCCTCACCTGATTTTTACTTATTACATCAATTCTACCGTCAATAATGAAGACCAAAGGCAACATAACTCCATTATCTCATGTTTAGCAGTTTCATTATTCAGTTGAATTCGCGTCTGAATGATATGCTGGAGAGGTAGGATATGATGGATAAGATCTGAACTTTGTGGTATCTATTAGGGCACTTGTAATTTGAAAAGCTTCTAGTTCTTGCACATGGTATGTACATAGGAGTAGCACTTAAGGTTTATGTTGGGCACTCTAAAGATAATTAACCAGTATTTTGGCACATTTTAGGCTAGGTAAAATGGCATTTAGATGTGTTTGCATTTGACTAACTACCTATGCAAGATCTTTTCCCAAGCCTCCTTGACAAAGATTAAGAGGATATAATTTATTGCTAGTTAAGTAAAGATACTTCAACTGCATTTCTTGTGCTCAATTCAGCTGCAAATCATTTCAGTACTGCAGTGCATTAAATGGCACTTGAACATCAAGCATTGACATTCTCTTAGCGAATGTAGTATACTTTTTAGGATTAGTGATTTGGTAAATGTAATGACAGTAATCTGCAGTAATTTGCTCCAACAGCATAAGTTACTAGCACCTTGACTAGTTGAGACTAATATCAACAATGTTGGATAGGTATCCTTTCAAGGCCAGTTGGTTGAGTTTTTTTCTAATTGGGCAATTAGATGAGGTTTTTTGAGAAGCATAAATAACCATCAGTAAAATGCTGCCTTTCCTTTTGTTATTTTGTGGTTTTGTTTTTGAACATTTCACTGCAACACATTTTAGTCTATTACGCAGACTAAAAGGTGCGTGCTGAATATCTTGTTATAGGACTTTTCTCACTTTCGCTGCATGTTGGAGGGTGAATTGCAATAGATCATGGACGTACGCTGCAAGATGTTGGTAGTTGTCATTTAATAACTTTTTTTTGGTTTTTGTGAGGTTTTGAGTCTAATAAACGAGCAGTTTGGCCTTTATAACAGGAATACTGTGAGTTAATTATTTGAAACAAATAGTTTCATTAAAAGCTTCTTTTGGAGTTGCAATATCCTCATTGGTTTCAACATTTCATCATTGCATTGTGTTTGGAATTGCAATTCTAAGGTGCAGTCTGTAAGTGTACTCTACTATTTTTAATGCGTTAGACCTGCTAAAAACTGTAATTAGGAGACTGGTGAGTTTACGTCTTTTTTGCTTAGCATATAACCTCAATGTCAGATACAAAGTGAAAATGTAGAGTTTTGCCTGCCTTTGACTAGCTTGCCAATGCAAGATCATTCTTTGAAACTCATTGCTGAAGATTAGGGCATAAGGAAAAGGTTTTAATTTATTCTTTTATAATGTCTGTTGTCAGGACTGTAGAACTAACATATACTTGTCCATGATCTATAACATCGATCTTTTTAAAATCACAAGTGCTTAAAAAGCTTGGTAAAGATGTCCCTAAAATCCCAATTATATGTAAAACGCATGAGTGATCTTGAGTAGTTTGAAGAATTGAGAGCATTAAACCAGCACTTTAGTATAAAGATAGTAGGAACTGCCGATGCTGGAGAATCTGAGATAACAAGGTGTAGAGCTGGATGAACACAGCAGGCCAAGCAGCATCAGAGGAGCAGGAAAGCTGACGTTTCGGGTCTAGACCCCGAAACGTCAGCTTTCCTGCTCCTCTGATGCTGTTTGGCTTGTTGTGTTCATCCAGCTCTACACCTTGTTATTTTAGTATAAATATGCTT